TTATATCATTGAATTAGATGCATTTACTATTAGTAAGAAATTTTATTCTATTAAGTTTTTTCGAATAATTAACATAAATCTTTGTTTGTTTTTTTTTTTGTTACAGTTGTTTCAGAAGGTCAGTGTTAATGAAAAGAATGTCAGATGAAATTAACTTAATACAATCTTTAGGTCAAGAAAATGGTGATCAAATTAAAGTATTTTTATTATATAGTCTGATAGAAAATCGTCCTAGAACTTTATCATCATCATTCAGTACTATGGTTGATAATTTAAGTTTAATTAATATAACTCGTTTAGTAAGAATTTGAAATAATTATTTTCAGATTTTTATTTATATCATAATTATTCATTACAGGTAGATAATAGTATTATGGAATCTCATATGAATATTTATAAGTTTAATGTTATTCAAGCTGAAGTAATGATGGAATTATCAATATTAAATGTTACTGTTATATTTACATTTATTAAAAAATGTATGATTGATTGTCAACAAATACAAATTAATAAATTAAAAAATACAAAATCAATTATTCTTAATCCAATTGTTATTATTTATGATGAAAAAATTCATTTTCATAATATTTCATTGATTGGCAAGTTTCATTTTTCTATTTAAAATACATTTATTCTACCTTAAAGTTCGTACTAGACTATATTTTATTTTCGACGATCAGGCTCCTTCTGTCTCGGAATAGTTGAATGATGATATGTGTAATTTCATGGAGAACGATCCAGTAAATTTTATAATTGAATATAAACTAATGGAAAATATTGCTCCATTCATCTTAAAAAGATTACTGCCTTCTATATATCGAAACAGTTGATCTTGACGATAATTATGACAAATATAGTCTACTAAGTCATTCTTCGTAATTCAACCTTTTCTCGATCGTAACGAAACTATTCTTGAAGGTGGGGCTTGGTTGTCAACAACAAAATGTAGAAACGAACGCTTTCTTTAATTTGTCTAAATCAAAGATGAACAGCTTTGATCGAGTTCCTAATATTATCATATCAATTACAGAATTATTTATCACTAGTGAAAATGCTTTTAATAAATTTAATTAATTTGTAGATGTTATAATGACGACATCAATAATGGTATTAATACCAACAACAGAAAATACAATAAGTAAGATTTCGAATTTTGATATTTAAAATTTTAATCAAATTATATTCATTTCTAAATACCAAATAATATAACAATTAGGTAAGTTATTTTTCATTTATTTTGAATTTCCTATTGTATTTATTATTTTTTAGATACGACAAAAATGATTTTTGAAGTAAATTACAAATTAGATTCATTTGATCTGATAATAGAGGGTAATTTTAAAGTTGGTCCTATTTTGAATAATTCAACTTTAAATGATTTAACAAATATGGTAAAAGCATAAAAGATATTAAATATTTCAGTCAGTATTATTTTTTTTTAATTTCATTTCGTCAGATGCAAACAACAGTATCAAATAGTTCAAATATTACTGTAATTGTATTTAATGCTACTATTGAAATTGATGATGAAAATTCTACGAAAAAGTTTGTATTTCTTTTTTGTTATGAAGAATATAAATACTATTCATTAGGATAATATCATCTGATTCAATCAATTATATTCTTCGTCTTATTGTTTACTATATCTTTTCAATAACATGTAATCTATGTATTGAAATTAGTAATAATGCTGTCTATAATGAACCTCAATTAGACAAATTAATTCAAATTCAAAATGCCTCTTTAATTGATATTTCTCGACCGGTTACTGTTATTCAGATTAGTAAGTATCTACGATGGTATTTTCTACAAAAATACTATTCATTATAGTTATCATACGATAACTTATTTTTCAATGTTTTTCAGCATCAAATCCAATAATAACAATTTTTTCATCGACTCACACAGGTAATTTATAATATTTGTTTATTACACTGAAAAGAAAAAAAGGTATTTCATTCGTTTCTCACACATATAATGCAGACGTTCAGAAATCTTCTTTAAGTTTCATAGACTTCTATAGAACCTTTAAAAAGGTTTTTTTGGCAAGTTCATAAGATGCTTAAAAATCATTTCAATTCATGAAAATCTTTTTCGATCTTATATACTACGATCTCTATGTCAATATTATTTAGTTTCTATGTCGACTGTTTCATTTTCAATAACAAATTCAAATTATAATAATACAATAAAAACAACGAGTTCAACAATAGTTCATACTACTATTCATCCAACGACTAGTCAACATCAAACAACAGAACATATGAGTACTGCTAATCGTACAGCATAAGATAAAACGATTGCTTTCCATACCACTATTCTTTCTCATAGAATCACATAAAATATTAATACAGAAATTTTTTTGGATATATGAAAAAATAATTTTATCTACAGAAAAAAAAAACAGAATAATAAGAAATTTATTTGTAAAACTAATAATTTTTCACGATTTAGTATTATTTTTATCACCAACTCATCTTTTTTTTTTTTTTTAAATAAATGATCTATAAAAAAATTAGATCAGATATATAAATATTGCCATATGAAAAATTTTGTATTTTGAATTGAATTATACCATTCGAAAATCCGTGAAAAGTTATAATCAAATTCAAATTTGTAGCTTTATCTAAAAATCTTATCAAGTGATCTTTGAATCCATTTTTGGATATTATCATATGAATTGTCGAAAATTCTCATGAACTATTGAAGATTTTATTTAGCCCTTTATCACAACATATATTACTATTGAATATCCTTCTTTTTTTTAATATTAATTAATGTATCTTCATTAGATCTATTAAATGCACTATCATAGAACAAGATTCTCAAATGTAAATTGTGTCTAGAAAGTCTATCATGCGTTATTTGTTACTCAAACAATAGACAAAAGCGATCATTTCTTATGAAGATTTTTCAAATGTTTTTTGCTCTAAAAGTATACAAGAACAATTGGGATCTGAACAGAATAAGTATTTTTTTTTTTATTTTATTTTATCTACAATGTCTTTTTTATTAACGATAAGTCAAACAATCCACAGTTCGTAGCAGTCGAATTTATTTACCCATATTAGCAAAAGCACCTGGTCTAAAATGAAATTTTCTCCAAAAAAAAAAAAAAACTTTGATTTTTTTACATGAAGGTTGTTTTGTAGCATACTTGGACTTTCAATGGCTACTATGGCTGATTATTGATGCAAACACGTAAACTTTACACAGTTCAACAAACCAAATATTTTTTTTAAAGCATTAATAACATTTCTTTTTTAATTACTTGGATAAAACAGCTTTAAGTCAAAAAGTCTTCATTTGAAAAAAGTTCTTTCTATTCTACGATATTTTTAAGCCAATTTAATCGTGATGCCTTATTTTTATTTTCTCTGTTTTATTCGCTTGGTTTATTCTTGTGTTTTATTTGCCATATTTCAGCTTACAATGATTGTTTACTATCTTGCTTTACTCGCTTTCTACAAATTGTATTCAATTTTAATTATATGTATGCAGCGCCTTTTCTTACATATTGGCAATATCTTTGTACTATGTTTTAATAACGATACGTACTCAGGTCAATCATCCGCAGTGGTACACGATCGTATACAGATAAAAAAACGACTGAAATCGGCACCGGTCAATGGTGTTCGTTTATAGCAATCATAAACGATGTTTTATGGTATATTACAATAACCGTAAATAATAGCTATAAAAGATCATCGTTTACGACTACTATAAAAATGCGATGCCAGTAAATAACGTTCAGATAACATCATAACTCATTGTATACTGCAACTGTAAATGGTTTTATGTACGATCATCAGTTTCCATTTGATTTATTCCAAAGCAATAGCTAGGGTCAGCGGTCTCTATTAATTCAATAGTGTATCATATAAAATGGATTAATTGAAACCACATTACATACAATTACCTAACACACACAATTCCATTCTTTAGTTACAAATGAGATGAATCACTTAAGAAAACAAATACAAATGTATAAGTGCATGTGTGTTATGATAAGGAAGTAGAGGTTTATTGGTAACTTCTGTTTCGATTCATCACAGCCGTGTACGTTAGTACTTACTGCCGTTTCCGTTGGAATCAGAATCGATTCGTGTCTCAAGTGTCACTGCAAATGATGCGCGTATTCCGTCGTATGTGACATGGCGACAATACGAACTTCATACGGTTTATACTACAAAGTTAATTTTCAGCTCGTATATAGCCGTATAGGATCGCTTCTAATCGCCGTAATACTCCATCTGAAATATCTCCGTTTATCTCGCGTTCGGTTTTTAATTAAGAGATGATAGGAATAGACAGAAGGCTTTACGATCGACACCATAAGCCTGATTATTATTATATATTCATAAATGATAGTGAATGATGAGGAGGACAACTATAGAACGCTAATGATGTAAACCCGACTTGATCCTGTCGAATCTTTTGAGTTTTGCCGCAGGGCTCGATAAGCTCCGTTTTCGACATAATCCAACGGGACTCAATAACATGATTTCTCGAACTGGGATAACTTGTCTTTGAAAAATATTAAAAAGTCAAGAAAACGCGATTTTTCATCGAAACTTAATATCTCTGCCGAAAAACATTTGTTTCGTCTAAAAATTTGAGCAGAGAAATTTCTCCATATGAGCTATTGAATGAACGTACATCGATTGAAATTTTAAATTTGATGATATTGTGCGGATTCTCTCTTGCTGTCGATCTCATCGGATGGCGATGGATATAGTAGAAGAATGCCCTTTGATTTGTTTTAAGTTCCAAAATTGTGTAATGTCGTTTTCTCGATCTTTGTGGCTCAGCGTCGCTGAAAATGTGTTTGGTGCATTCGAGTATTGAAAATCTTCTGGTTGATTCCGATAATGGTTCAATAGATGTCCTGATTACCATTTGGTTGTCTCGTAACTTCTTGCCTCCTAGGATGCAATATACACGTCAGCGATTCGCCAGTAGACAATATGTTTTTTTTTGTCCTTCTTCGTCTATTCTTATTCATTTGATCTCGGCAGGTAAAGGTCTTAGTTTTTCATTGATCAAAGAGCTTCTGACTTTCACATCTTATCTTCGAATGCTTAATCGGCAAGTGCAATCATCATGTAAGTGCATGGCTAATATAAGAAATTGGTAGCGAGTTCTAGCACTGGAATACATGTTCGTGCTCAAGCGACTAGATATGAGTGTAAATCTATACGCATTACAATCAACAACAGCTAACGTTTTCGATATCATTCATGATTTTCGGCAAATACGACGCTGGTGTATCGAGAGTAATAATAATTTGTGAATGATTTATATTTACTTCTATGCCTCAACAAAGAACAGAGAACGTCACTACTGCATTTTGTTCTCATCACTGTCATTGCTTGCTTGTAAAATCTTTATCATATAAGATAAGAAAGTGCTGTTTTGTTATTTCTTCTCTTAGATAATCGTTATTTTGATTTTGTCCTCATGAATTTGTTGTACTGGTATCAGGACTTTTAGATGTAAGTTATCAGCGTTATCGACTTGCGTGTTCTATTGAAAAAGAAAAGGTACACATTCATTTTCAACTATTTAAGACCAAAGAACACCGCTTACATTTTTTTTATTAGTCGCACAAAGAAAGATATATCTTCACCTCATTCTCATTCAGCAGAGGTAAGCGAGTAAATAAGAAAAGAGTTGGTGTCTTCACGTTCTTTGAATCCTTTATAAGTTTTCATGCAACATCATGAATCGAATTCAATACTTCACAATGAAATTCTCAATCATAAAGAGTCTCTGAGAAAGCTCGTTTCACTGAATCTTCTCGACTTCAGATTGTCAGGAAACGTGTCTGATGATAATATTTTTTCTGAAATACTTTAGATGAATTATTTTGGACCACGATTGTAACGGAAAATAAATGATTTCTGTGATGACAAGTAGAGAGGCACATATGCGTTTAGCCTTATAGACTTGATGTTTATACGGCTGTGCACTACATCTAAATGTAACTATTTTACATAGAACACGAGCTTATATACTAGAGAAAGAATAAGGAAGAGAATACGATACAATGATGTAGAAGAGAGAAGGAAATAGAGAGAAGATTAAGAAGTAACAGTTGACAGAAAGACCATATTGTATCAACGATACGATTTATGACACACATTGACCTTTTTAGTAATTACACAGTATACTTGAGTTGGGTCATCCAAGACAAAGACGTAACGTCATTCGATTGTGATAAGCCAATTGTCACAACGATCAACTTTATAAATCACATATTGTTGGTGTTACCATCGACTTACAAATTTACTGAGTTGCGTTTTGCTCAAACTGGCCAGAATGACTCTCGTTCATGATTGTCACGAAGGAAGACATGACACTCCGACACTCTCACAGGTGCACATAGTGATGCTTGCGAAATTGTCTAATTTACAGGCTATATATTTGATATTTCGACCCAAGCGTTGATACGTCTTTCTTTGCCGAGGTCACTATGGAAACCAAAATTCTGTTTTAAAAGATTCTTCTATTGAGCGCAACTTGCTCAGAGAAGTAGTGGATACCTACGAAGATGTGTAGTGATTATTAGGCTGCCAAGTCTAAGCGATTGTTCTCGAAATCCATGAAGATGATCAGTTTGAATTATTAATCAGACAAATCGTTTAATAATCTAACTAATTATGATAGACTACAAGAATAATTATTTAAAACCTTGATTTTAATCTAATTTAATTCAAAAGAATTTAAAAAATCGATTATTAGATCAGATGCTACATAGGTGATTTCCAGCAAACCTTTCGCAAAAACTTATTACATAGGATGCTGTGTCATCTTGACATTAATGTCCAATTCACAGTGCAACAACTTTTCGCCAGGCTCTGATCATGCAAGAAATTATATGCAGATCTGTCATTAGTCTTTTCTCGACATATCTATTGCACGAAGCCTCTAAATTGATTATTTTGCTATTAATACGGAAAAATCAACTTTTCTCACAGCTTAGGAACTGACATGAAGTTTTCTAGATAAACTGCTAAGAAGATTAGTAGTAAGCTGGTGAAAAACGAAAAAATTGTTGTGGCGTTCCTTACTGAGTCTATTGTGCACCATTATCTTCTCTCAATACTTGGTTGAATTGACTGCTTACACGTAATGTCCAACCGTCGCTTGTCATCTCTTTATATCACATGCTTTATGGTTCTTTCTATTGTAACTATGTATCGTGAAACATCTCGCTCTCCTTAACTTTTCTCTCCTTCTTTCGTTCTTTCTCTTTTTTTTTCTATCTCTTCTACTTAAGTATATATACATGTACTTTTGATGTAAACGATACGATTAATGATACGAAGAAGTCACATAAATCGGAACTCCATCAGTGCTTGTAGCTCTTCAATCTAAAATCGTTACAATTGTGATCTTGTTTTATTGACGGAAGCCATCCCGTGTTGATTATTTCTTGTCAGTCGATAACAAAGCAAACAGCATAGAAGAAAAGTTGCTTGCAGCGTTTTGATTGTGATGTCATAAACAATTTCAAATATTTCTTGTCAATAAAACAGGGTCTGAAAAGCTTGTTTTCGTTGTGTAACTACTAATTCGCTTAGCAATTTATCTGAAAAGATTCGATTCAATCTACAATCCGCGAGAAAAGTTGATTTTACTGTAATGTTTCATAAAATCAAACACTTACCACTAACAACGAACTGTTTCATTCGTACGGTCTTTTTTCTAACATACTGTTGTTTCTCTACTTATGGTTACTCCGAGTAAGGAAAATTAGACGAGTAATATTTAAGATAGCATGATATGATTAATTCAACCCCATTTTCTCTGACAATTAAGGTTGTTTTTTTTCTTTCTTTCACTCGAGTAATGACCTTGTATTAACTATTTCTTTTTTTCTGTTGCCTCTCCTTTACTATCTCCCTCTAGGCAAAGGCATTGAGTCAATAGATATCAGATAGCATGGCTAATCGAACAATCTTTTGTCATATTTAGTGTTGTTTTTTTCTTTTTCGCATTCGCATAGTAATCTTATATTGATAATTTTTTTGTATTCTAATGCGCACATTCTTCGTTGTTTCTCTTGTTGGTAGAGAGATTGAGAAAATGATTGTTAGAAAAAACTCACCCTCCTTAAATGAATCCCAACAAAACATGAATGAGCACACATTAACTCAAACTCAGAAGGTTAGCTTCACCCGAATCACTGCCACATGCTAATTCTCTGCAGTTGTTTCAAAAAATAGAAGGTAACTGCCCCACTCATCCTCTGAACTTACACTCCTGACGGTCAATGAACGAATCCTTTTGTCGCACAATCAGAATTTTATCTTGCGTTTACTAGAGACATTTTAATATTTGAAATGTGTCTTCTCTATTATTCTATCGCGTCTTTATTGCTTTGCCAAAATGTACGTGGCAGAAATGAAGAACACATCATATTTCGCATCGTTACACTGTTGCAAATATTCTTTATGTTAATTTGAGTAAGAAAAAAGAGCGATTATGAAACAACTGGCAACAGACAATGAGAAGCCCATAGAAATTGGTTATTTTTAGCCTTTATGCAATGATACAAACACGCCGTATTTTTCTGTCACTCGAGGTTCGCGGTTGCATGTTTAAACGGTAAAAAAATTTATGCTGTAAAAAACTAATCGTTTTCACACTTAATATTTTCATCCCTTGCCATGACTGATGAAGAAATTCAATTGGCATCTTAAATGAAAAAACCTATTTACCAGTAAAATGCATGTTGCGAATTTTTTATCCACGTTACGAGTGAGGTATTTGAGGTGATTTATATATCCGAGTATCTATACTCATATTCGAAGTCATCTTAAAGCCCTCAATTCAACAGATATAATTTGTCATTCATTATGAGGACGAAATCTATAGAATATTGTGCTCAGTCACTGTCGATATGCCTAGTGTTGGTGTTAGAAGATCTGTGAAGACATGTGCGCCATTTTATTCTCTTTCTTTACAGATAGGTTTTAGAATCTAATCATGTTACCTGCGTATGCGAGCGACCCGGATGCCGTGGTGAAAGGCCAGTCCGACGATGTCCAATGGAGAAATGGTATACCTAACTACGAAAAAGCACATGCTTTCTTTGAAAAACACAAAACGACGAATCACAAAGCAGGTTCACTCGAAGCTATTGTTCAGAATCTTGTCAAAAATTGGGAAAAAGGTAGGAACCGTTTAAACGAAGTCATCACTATTTCAAGACTCTTTAGAGGTGAGTCACAAGTCTGATCCACGCCAGTGGAATACAGTGGACTTGGAAAACTACTATTTTTCGTGCAACGGCCAAAAAAAGTATACGGGTTGGGATATGGTCAACATAGGCACATACAATGCTTTGATTGGTGACACAATATATTATAATTCTGCATCGATTTCATTTGAAGACTCTCATTCAGCGTTCCGAAAAACGCTAGGCAATGGATTTGCCTGGGAAGTACTTGAAGTCTTTTCTGGTCCACCAAATGTTACATTTACGTGGCGGCATTTTGGCACAATGACTGACAGTTTTTCCTGTCCTGGCATGAAGGGTACAGTTTATACGGCAGAGCCAACTAACAAAATGGTCGAGCTCTTCGGCATGTGTAAAGCTACAGTAAACGACAAGCTACAAATTCAAGATCTCCAGATTTTCTATGATCCGAGTCAATTGTTTGTTCAACTTACTGATAACTGTCCATTTTTTGAACATACCAAAGTTGACACTGCTCCGTAACCATTGTCGGGTGATGCTACTATTAATCCTGAATCTAGTTGATTAGTCACGTTTCAAAAAAGACAACTGATCTATCTTGACTAATGTCTAGACGGATCATTTTCGTCTTTGATATTGGTAGCTCAAGCGATACCTTTCACTTTTATTTTTGTTGTCATCACGATATTAGCCTTTTGAATAGTTTAAATAAAAATGAAATGTACACAAGACATAATAGTTGGCAACCGAGCTGTTTCTACAGCTTAATGAACTTGAGCAGCGAATTTTTGATAGCTGTCAAAGGTTTTATCAACAAAAACTTCATAAATTGAAAAATGTAGAGAAGTACATCAAATACTGTTCTTAAACTTTTCTAGCATTAGTAAGAAGATGCAATGATCAATATTAATTCAGAAAAGATTACAATTAACAATCATTTTTCTAGAATTTTCTAGTATTCACACTGGTCTTTTTTATTTCGGTTCGACCGGTCAGCCTAAAAAAAAAAACATACAATGTGTAAAGTATTTCATAAAATTATTTATCTCAAGTAACTCAATGCTCCATCTTATATAGCTCAACAAGAGCTACAAATTCATAACTTCCGTTTCAATTTTGTATGAGAAATGAGCATATTTGTGTTAGAGCTTCAGACGATGAGAAAGTGTTGTCCGATCAAACTTTTAATACATTTTTTTCTGAAGTCAGAATAATAATATTCCTATAGGTGTCATATCGAAAATTTCAGAATGGGTTAGTTGACTTTACACAAAAACTAAATCAAAACTATCAATTTTTCTTTTGCTCAAAGAATGTCCTCAACTTTGCTGAAACATTGTTGAAATTATATGTAATTATGAATCGCTTTGCAGTCAGTTATTGCCTCAAACTTCGTTGAAACTGTAGGTGAATTCAATAAAACAAGATCAAAATTACGCAAAACCTCAGAGTAAAAAGTCAAAAATTTGCGTAGTTACGGCAAAAAAATTTGGCATGACGTATAATCCTAATAAAAGATTTCAACTTTCGAATTCAATGCATTATGGTCCTGCACAGACAAAAAAATCATTTTCTTGTCCCATTCAAATTACATCACAGTCTTTAGTCATCTTCCAGACGAAAGCATTAATTAGCTTTATATGATGAATCTGATTTCTATTGTACTATTTGTCCAAAAAAAAAATAGGTTCTACCAAAATAGTTCTCTTTGACAACTATGATACATAACATTGCACTAGAAAAAATTGAAAATTTTTTTTTCTCTTTTTTTCTGACACGGACTCACAGTATTTTGTATGAGATTCTAATGAGCTGTATCTTGGCATTGTTCGATCACTTTTATCTTTTCAGATCAAACGTATCGTTCAATGTTCGTGATAAATAATGAATAAATCATGCATTAAGTTTATTAAAAACATTTTTCATTATTTAGATAATATGACTTAAAACTTCTTGCTATAAATAATGCATGTAAAACTCTGTATTACTGAGATTCATCCGGACGCGTCGGAAAAAAAGGCTAAAAAAACATCTACACAGATTGACCCACTTATGATAAATGTAAATAAGCATAGTGACTTCTGTCAGAAACGAGTCCTGTTCACCTCTAAGTTTTATGTAAGTTGATTAGAAGAAATACATGAGACAACGTCTGTTATTAATTTTTGTCGAAAATTTATAGTCATATTGTGTATGATATCGATTTAGAGCAATCAAAACATTAACCTTTTATTCTTTTCCTAAATGAAATACATTCCATTCACGTTCATTCTTAGTTCAAATACAATAATCTGCAATGCAAAGAGAATAATGAAAATTATGTATTGGTTCAATTTTTTATTATAAGCAAATGACAACAAAATAGTAGTACAAAACAACAAGAATATTTTACAATAACAACATTCAATCGTATATTTTTATTGATGAATAAAAAGTTACAGCCAATATGTATGTTGAACTAAACCAATAAAATAGATATTCGAAACGGAAAAAAACATAGAATTTTCACTAACAGTCACAAAATGTCTAATAAATAACACACAACAAATAGTTTACATTTAATCGAGCAGTGGTAGAAAACTCGTGTCGCCACAGTCCTTTAATCAGTATGTTCTCAATTTTTCAGAATGCTCTAGATGAAAAATTGACACCTGTGGTTGGTATTAGTGCTAGAGGTCGTAATGAATTGCCAGGTCTTGCGATTGGAAGAACCTGAGGACGACGCCGAAGCCATAATTCAGGTAAACTCATTAATGAAACAAAAGGACACAGCAAAATCACAACGTAGATACCATATGGTAAAATATTGATACTCAATTCAACCAAGAAAGGTTGTGGAACTGGAGAAAACAGCATAATTGATGAACAAATTATCATAGGCAACCAGACGATATTATACAATATAACAATATATAATAATTGTATAACAAGACGTCGATTTTTTTTCCACATTTGCTGTTGTTGCATGCGACGTTTTTGCCATAGAACACGACTTAATAATATAAGACTAGCAAGACTACTAACTGCAACAGGAAAAACAAGATCAATAAATTGATCCAAAGTGCTAATTGTTGCTTGATAAAAATAGCAAGGTCCACCGCATGTAATCATCGTATAAGTGAATTGATTCATACAAGAATAGAAAAAAATTAAATAAGTATAGAGTCCTATTGGATAAAGAATGCAAAAAAACATTGGTATATAGTGAAGAATAATTAAATGCTTCTGAAGAAATTGATTGTGAAAAACAAGTAAATAACGTTCTATTGCCGTGAAACCCATTAGTAGTAAAATCATCACATTAAATGAATAATCTTGACATGCCCAAAACTTACAAAAAATATCCGATTGTATAGGAACCAGATTATTTCTCAAATACGAAAGTATAATGGGTAATTCGGACGTCACCTTAATAAATTCAATAAAGAAAAGAAAAATCGAAAAATTAAACCTACCTGTAGAAAACTGCACATTAACACAGCGAAAACAGTATGAATTCGAATATGTTTACGTAACATACCTTTATGAATACATTGGAAAAAGATATAGAAATAACAGGGAATCGATGGAATGATAAGAATAGTAAAAATCCAAAATGGAATTGTACGTGATACAGGCACTGACATGTTTACAGATGTGTCATTAGTGATACCGTTATTGTCCATGATCGATATGTTTGAAGAAAAAGTTTGTTCTTCAGTGTATATTAAGATTATGATGTTATTTATATACTAAAATATAGATATTATTAACTTAGCAATTCAATCTCACCAGCATGGTTACTTCTATGGCGTAATTGCATCTATTATATAATCATGAGCTTCTTTTCTGTATCTCTAACGAAGAGCTTCTATTCTAGATGAAAAGACCCCCTTGGCGTAACTTTTTAACAACTATGTCGCAGTTGTATGTAATTGCTGTGTATTGATAGTAATAAAAATCTGTCAGATATCATGGTTAATGCGACACAGATAGTCGCAAGTGTACCGCATAATACCCATCGTCCAATTTACTCTATCTGATACCAACCAATTATCAGTAGTTCTTCCTTACTCATAATTGATTACATTTTACCGCTAAATTTTAGTCAGAAAAAAACCGTATAAAAGGAAGCTTTTGTGAGACTTTTGTTCATAATTAATTCTACTACAATAGAAAGACCATGTATTTTTAATGTAATTTTTTAAGCCAAACTGAAGACCTGAGAGTTTTCGACTGTCGCAGATTCTAATTACCCAGTTAGACACACACGTAACTTTTTATACAAAGTTGGTCTTAACAAATTGTGCCTTAATTTTTTACGAATTTTGTTCTCTTTGTAAAACTTTTTGACATATCAAACTTCTTAGTGTCGAATAACGGCTAACTGTTTTTTTTTTCTAGAAAAACTGAGAAAAATTAATGCTGTCAAAATGCACATACTTGGAATATAACAGACTTTACTTTTCTATTTTGCTCTAGTTGCATAGAGATGCAATTTAGTCAACCTATTCTCTCTTTAGCTTTTCATCATATCACATAAGACATTGAATTATACAGAGATAAGAATGTTTAGAATTCTAAGTCTTCATCATACATGTACGAAAATAAAATAACAATTATTTAGAATGATGCCGTTTAGAATTCTTCAAAGTATATTCTTACTCCTAAAAATATGTTGAGTAAGGCGCATATCGATGCAACTAGAGTAAAAAGAAAGTAACTATATAGTAGAAATATTATTATTAGACTCAATGTATACTTTACTATAGTAATTCTCGATTCGACATTAAAGAAAAATTAGTTGATAAAAAAATGATTTTATAGACTCATGTAAAACTGAAGACTTAATATGATCTAAATATTTTATATCGAATAAGAAATATTTCTCTTTACCTTATGAATGAACTATTCATTGAAAACAAATCATATATACATTTTAATACTATTAGAACATTTTTTTTAATCCGTACAATTGAATACTAGATAAAAACAAAATAGATTTGTTTTAGACAAATATCTACACTTCTATCGCTAGATGAACTTACTATTTCTTGGAAAATAATTTATATGTGTTTAGTACGAAATTTCTATCAAATGTTAAGAATTAACTATTTAACAGTAAAAGAATATATATTTATAAAATAAAGAATGTCTATCTTCTGTCACTACAGAGTTATTCGTACTTTGAAAGTAATATCTCTGTATTAAGAAATACGTACTTGATAAGAGAAAAAACTTTGTACACATATATATATATAAATAAGATGTATGTTTCTTTTTTTCTACTTCTATTTGTCAATTATTAAAAAAATAGTATTTTATTAAGCAATAAATCTATGTCTTATATTCAAAAAGAATCACACTTTTTTAAACAGATAGCATCTACTTTCAATTGTCACGGACCATCTGCACAAAAAAATGCATATAATCGGTCAAAAACACTTTGTTTCTTTATTCTTACATATTGACAGACCATTAATAAAGAAAAAATACATATACTATAAAATACTTTTCTGTCCTCAAAAATAGAACAATAAATGGAGAAAATTAAACTCATATTAAAAAAGAAGTATACATGTTCGTACCCAGTGACTTTAGAATGAAAAAAAAATGTCATGATGTTCGTGAATTTTATATCAATAACATAAAAGTCATGGATTTCATGAAATTTTTTTTCATTCTAAAGTCATTGGGTATTCTTAGCAATTGCTTGTTCGATAGGAAAAATCATGAAACAAATGTAATTTGACTCGTAAAAATGATGAAACTGATTTGAAGTGCTTAGTTAATAGCAAAAAAAAATAATGGAAATGATCTCGTTTTTTTAAGTTTAAAATAAAAGAAAAAGATCTCCGAAAAAACCTTATTAAAAATTGAAAGGTGGAAATGAGAGAAGAAGATCTTGATTTTTTCTACATGCCTGCTCTTATGATTACATAGAGACTAGTGTATATGATGAATAAAAAGAATGAACAGAAAAATTGGACTCGGTACGACTTTTTAATTTTTCTAACATGTTACTTTCAATATTCTGTTCGTATAGATATAATTTGAAACAATGTTTGTGTATCCATTTAACAGGTCTTATGATAAACTAAAGAGTTCCAACAACTCTACAGTTAATTGGGAAAAAAATGGCAAAGAACGAAAAGAAGTGAAATATACGTTGTTGAACGACGGATTTTTTTATAAATATTTTCTTATATATTTTTTATTAGATATTAATACCTATATTATTATTAATGTTTTGCTTTATTACTCTCTACTATGTTTCTTAGTACACGCATGAACTAAAACACTATACTTCCATTTTCTATTTAACATATTCAGGTGAGATCTTTTTCTCTAATTTCCACTTTTCAATATTAATGAGCTTTTCCTCTTATCTCAAACTTGAAAAAGAAAGAGATTAGTTCCATCATTTTTTTTCTATTAATGAAGTACTTCAAGATTATATTTCTAATTTTTCCGAAAGCAATTCAGCATCGTCCAAAAAATATACATGTTATGTCGGATATTTCTATCTTCTATTGCTACATATTGATTATCTGTAAGAAGGGAAAAAAATTTATTTTTCTTAATTAAGATGCTTACACCTTCTATGATTACTAGTAGACAGCTCCACAGGAGACTAGAACAAGACTCAGTCCCCCTTCTGCCTATAATCTCTGACGTCGCCATTAATAGTTATGAAGTAAGCAAACGAAAAATGAATAGTCTTTGCGTAAGAACAAATCAAAAACAAAAAGATGCTATCTTTCTTTTCAAAGTAAATCATCAATCAGAGCAAATTTTTGACGATAAACAAAATATAATTTTCGATCAACCAGACATATCAATTTTTCGCATTTTCCGAACAAACATATCGACTTTTACTCGATTTTTATGCGTGTTTTTCGATTTATTTTTTTGTCCAATTTCGCCAGATTTATGCAGAGAAGTGGCTAAAAAATTATTTTGAACAAAAATTGTTCATTATATCTCAAAAAAATTGAAGTTTTGGATGTAAATGAAATACAATTTTTTCATGTGTACACATAAACAATTACTTGTTTTCATTGTTTATTAGTTATTTTTTGCTCAATCTATCTCTTTTTGATGGTATAAAGCTTTTGTTTTTCTAACAAGATATGAATGGAAAATGCCAAATCTGTCTTGAAAAGTATATGCATGCTAATATTGCTTGTAAAAAACATACGAGAATGACATTTTGCTAATGTGCTTTTAGATATATTTGAAAAAATAAAAAGTGTACATTTATTTTTGCGTTCCATTTTGAAATCTAATTTTATTAGCACATACGTGTGGGCATGGTGGCATACGGGCACAAATTTGATTATGAAAATTGTCTTCACCTACTGCTCACAGACATATACATCCACACCCATAGCTTAGTTATTGTTAAGAATATAGACGCTGACATTCTTCTTGTACATGCTTGCATTTTTCTGTACCTGTATACTTCAATAATGCCCTCCAACGGATAGCCTTACAAAGAGATGAGATTATAATTAAAGTCAAAAATACTCATTGGCCAGTCAATAATATATGTAAAAGGATAGATAATCATCTACTTCTAATTATATCGATTGATAACGAAGAAAACATGATCCGGTAATAAAGCGTGTACTACATTCAAATTTAATGAAATGCAAAATGATCGGATGAAATCTCTACTAAAAATCAAGCTGGCTTTATTTATTTAAAAATTGTTGGGTACAGTATATGAATCCCAATGGTTCCTTAGATATTAACTAATATCTGGCAAAAAAAAATTGAATTTGACTTTTCTTTGAATTTTCATCCAACTATTTTCAGTCTGAATGCATTTAAAAATTGCTATCATTGATATCAAATTATCTCTATGTAAAAAGAAACTAGATTAAGGATCAGATTAAAAATTGATTATAATGTCACTACTATAATCTGATTTTTCAGCTTTAAAAGACAGATTTTATTTGATTTTGATTTTTTAAAATCTATTTTAATCGATTATTATAGTCTTTGTAGGTAACCGATTAAAAAATCGAAACCAAATAAAATCTGACTTTTAAAGCTGAAAAATCAGATTATAATAGTGCCATCATAATCAACTTTTTATCTAATTCTTAATCTAGATTCTTTTTATATAGGCTAGTTACAAATTGATGTGATCCTAATAATGATAGAATGATGTACCAGGTCAGATAAAAAACTTTTATTCGATAAATTTATAGTAGAAAAATCTCGTTTATTTTATATTTCTAATATGTTTGTAAAGTAGGAATTTCTTATAGTACCAACGATGTTAACTCATAAGCGATACGCAGATTCATAAGAAACAGTGAAGAATTTTTTTAAAAATTACTAATTGAAAGTGCTGTATTAGTCAATGTTTATTTATTCGTAAAGCTATAAGATTGTGTTTTACATACATCGTTTCTACAAACGAGGAAAAAAGATATTTGGATCTTCTCAGCTAGTCCCATCTATTCGAATGACTGTGAATGAGTTATTCTACTCTTGTGTTTTTTCTAGAAGTTTATGTATTGGAATATGAGATAGGATTTTCTCTTTTTTTCACATATAGAATTTTACAGAAGAAGTTTTGAATCATAAAACGATATATATATATTGTTTTCCATGAGTTCAAACAGTTTAAAGAATCGTTAATATAAAAATTGAGCATAAAATACTGTTTTTACATTATTGACAATCGAGATTTTTGTCTTGTTAGTTACTGAAACTAGACATATTCGAGTCAAGTTGAAGTTTTTCTCAGAAAATCAACAAACTTTAAATACAAACTATTCTTGAAGTGCAAGAACCGAGATATTGAAATTTTAGGGTAGTTATTGTATAGATAAGAAGGTTACAATATGTAGAGTTCTTTTTTTTCTGTGATAGTTAGATAGCGCTCTTCAAGTTGAATAAGTGTTTTTCAAATTAAAAAAACAATATTTATTAAAATTAGAAATTAAAGATCTGTACTCTCTTATTCCGAAAAATGATGGTATTCTGGACGCTTTTCGTGTTACGTTGTTTTCTAATTTGAAGCATACATATTGTTATGCAAATTGATGAGTTCTATCCAAACATCATGTGACAGGAAAAAAAAACTTTGCTGAAATGTTCAAGTATGAGCCATGAATTGGAAACAAAAGAACAACAATTATCTAGAATAACGGCTTAATCAATTTTTTCAAGTATATTTGAAGTTATGTAGTAATTTGGTTTTTTTTTTGTATAACCGTTCTTAATAAGCGACAAAATATTATACCTTTTTGAAATTAAAATACAATTAATTGTTGAATAAAGACTAAGAAGTTTTGCAACAACAACTATACTTTTGCCGTAAGAGACATGTAAACAATTGTAAGCAAAATGAGTATAATGTGGTGTGCCTTTTATGTTTTTAAATGCTCAGAATTTTTTCAATATTTTTTTTGCGAAAAAATACTGAACATCTCTCGCCATTGAAAATTTTGATGCCAAAAATCTGTACAAAAAAAAACAAAGTCTATAGACAATGAAAAACAATTTTTCTAAGATAAAATTTATACAAAAAGTGACATGTCTGTCTGTCTAGGTTAAACACGAAAAGAATCGGATAACAAAATTTTTAGTCCATAGAAGTTCAAAAATTTAATTATATGATGTACGATAGGTGTTGTTTGGTTGAAATAATCTTTTAACTACTTTTCTTTTAATTATGCCTTAAAAGTTTTTGTTAATTCATGATAAACATATGAATAAAACAAAAATCTCACATATGTCGTTTCTTTTAGCAACTGCGATGTAGTTCGATCATAATCGAACACATGGGTCTATAAGGATTGTCATCATTGCCTCTATATTTCATAGAAACACAGATAACAAATTTCTATTGAAATGACATTATTATCAGATTTGTCGAAATGATTGCGATGTTTTCTTATGTTGCGCATATAGTAGCTTAGGAAAACAATAAGATCTTTAATTTTTTAAAGATATACTATGAAAGGTTCAACAAAGTTCTGTAAAAGAAATTTCTATTGATTTGATCTAATGATTTCTTCATGATCAAAATAAACCGTCTGTTGGATTATACTATTTTCAGTCATATTGAATATAATAATAACCATGTAAACAAAAAAAACAGTCAAACACTCATATTAAAATTGATCTTCTTACAACAATCTCAAAAATTTGATTAAATTCCACAAAATAATAGATTAAAATAGTTTTTTTTCAGGTAGTAACCAATTAAAATCTATTTTTGGATAAATAATCTAAATAATAGATTAACCATTTATGAACACGAGTGATTCAAATAATCATGAAAAATTAGAAGTTTCATATTCGAATCTGAAATAAACCACTCATTTTTCATATGTATGATTAAAAGATAATAATGGATAACAATAATCAGGTTTAAGATTATATAAAATCGATTGAGATTAATTTAATTTTTAATTTTAAACATAATTAAACTTGGATTATAATTGTGCAATTATATTGATATTTTAATCATAAAAAAGTCTAATTTAATCAGATTTTTTTTCTCATTGTTTTTATCTGGGTACAGAAGAATTAAGAAAGTTCCTAACTCTTAACCTTTACATATTTAACATTCATTTTCTATTTTCAAATATAAGCAAATGAATGTTACTATCGATTGACAAAATACCATATGGTTATATTTTGTTTTTTCTTACTTGACACGAAAAAACAGACTTTTTAAAATACATGCTATCGATTCTATTTTTCTTTTATCTATTAAATAGAATTCAAATGATATTAATTAAGAGAAAAGAAAAATATTTTATCGAATTTCTTAAACACCACCATTATGGACTCAATTCTGAGACAAAATTTACATTTATTGTTATCTTTTGTTGAATAGGATTATACTAAATTTTTTTTTTCTAATCTATTTATCAAATTCTTTGTTTTGTTTTATTTTTTTAAATAGTTATCATGAAATCTATTTTTCTTTTCGTTCTGATTCTATTTTATACATGTTCCTTAATAAATAGTAAGAATTTAATGTGAAATGAAACCTTCTTTTATTTCTATATTCTTATATTGAAGGTGAATCTACATCAATAAATGGTATTATAAAATCCTATCAAAATGAATCAACATGGTTATTAATGAATACAACTCTTGTACTTATTATTAAACATGATATTAATCATACTGATGTACATCATTTAAAATTAAATCTTAGTCAATCATCATTTCCAATTAATTTTACTATGAAAAATTTAACTGAAATTAAACATAGTGATGAATATCTTTTATCATTACTTATTTTTGGTTATCCTCATCGATTATTATGGGAAAGTATTCTATTTCGACAATATTTGATAATTAATACAAAAAATTTTCTTACATTTATTGTTCAAGATGTTTGTAAATAATATTTCTTTATTAGTTTCTATTGTTTATCTTATTCTATTCTATGTTTTTTTTTAAATAGCAAATCTACTTCAATGTTTATCTGAAGGATATCCATGTGTAAATGTACAAAGTCAACCTACTGCTTTCATATCTATATGCTGTAGTAATACGAGATGTGAACGGTCCAATAATAATCAATTACAAGAATATACTTGTGGACGCAGACCTCCAGGTTAAAATCGTTTCTTTTTTTTTTGCAATTATAGATATACATTTATTAACTTTGTTCTTATAGTTATTATAATCATAAATATTACATTTACTTTACCCGAGGGTATAGTACCTCAATTGGGACCAGTTGATCAAATTTCATTGGAAATGATAAGAAAACAGGTGAGCTGATTACGAAATTAATCAATCCAATTTAGTAAAGTTGATAAACATCGAAAATGTTGAATACAAAATGAGATTGTTGGAAATTTTTCAATACATCATTGCCTATGTCAAATAGAAGAAAATATAGACTTTTGTACTGTTGTTGAGTACAAGAATAATAAAAGAATGTAGATATATGAAGAGAAAATGATAGCCACACTTGAATTCTCGTACTTTTTTTTTAGTACAAATTATAAATTTTTTCGACTTTTTGTCTTTTGATTTTTTTTCCCATAAACTTCGATTGTATTGAAAGTTCATTTTGCCTTCTAATAGATTCAAGCAATTTCAGCTCCAGGTGATTTAATAAAAATAATCAAGGCTGTTTTCGTTCGAATTCGACATAAACATCGGTATGTTTTTATAATTCATTATTTCTATAAGAACTATATGGAAAATGATTTTATCTATATTAAATAACATATACGAGCACTGTTATTTGTAAATATTTGTTTTTTTATTTTAGTCGAAAGCGTTTCATAATATTGCCTAATAAGTATATACTTATCGTTGAAGCAACAATAACTACTCCTGTAGTATGTCGACGTAATCGACAGAATTGTCAAACACAAACCATTAATAATATAAAAAATAGAAAAATGCCGATGGTCATTAATCGAAATGATGACTCGACAATACTGGTAGAATTTGACAAACCTATAGTCAATATTATTAATATGTCGGGTGGAGAATCAACTACTACAGGTAATAA